CCAGGCTGATATCAAACTGTTTAAGAATATCTGAAGATCAGTTTTTCCTTTAACTGATTATTGGCACAAAACATCGCCTACAGCTCATTAAATCCAAACATGTCAGTTGTCAAAACCCCATATCGGTCAAACCCTAGTTCATTAGTTGACCTGTTAACCAAATAGCTGTCAATTGATTGGGTTTGATTGATTGACGACAGCTGATTGGCTCCCTGGCTGAGGAGGGGGCACGCAGCTCTGTTGTTTGACATGGAACAGGAACAACATATCGACGATATCGGGTGCTGAGGTGACTTGGTCGTCCATTCCTCCCATTGGCGGGCTCCTCTTTCTCATTATCCCAAATTATATATATGCATGTATCGTGGAGTCCGACCTGGATGCCCAGATCAGCCCACCAAGTTCCAGTTCCTCCTGCTCTTCTTCTTTTTTTATTTTTTAACTTGGATGTGAGTCGATGTTCTCAAGGACAAATAACAGAGCGTCTTTTCCACAGAGCTGCCAATTGGAATGCAAAGCACACACCATTTATATAACATCTCTGCAGTGAGCTAGATAGTAGAGTATTACAGTTACGTCGGTACAACATTCAACAGAAACGAACAAGAGTAATTCAGCATTGTGAAGTTGTTTCCTAACAGATAACAGTCCCTGCTGCTGTCAGGCGCCTGAGGGCTGTCCTGACACTTCAGGGGTGGATGTGGACATTCTTCGGCTGTGAAGGTTTTCCAGCTTCAAAATAAAAAGAAAAAAAAGAAGAAATAAAAGAAAGAAAAACACCAAGATGCCTCCCTTCATCTCTCACCAGGAGAGCAAGACAGAGAGAGAACCAAGGGAGAGCATATCCTATGTTACATTGAGATAGAAGTAAGTATTCCTTAACACTGCATATCATTCTTCTGACAGACTCCATGACATTATTCACATTCAAACACGTTAAAACAAAAAAACTGAAACAGCTCTGGTTTCCCTTATGATATGTATTTCTGAGCAGGGATGGAATGCAGATGGGTTTTCATTATGTGCCACTGAGACCCAGAACCCTTCACTGCCCTAAAGGGTTGTCTTACTTCCCTATTTCGGATCAAATACAAGAAGCTGAATGACTCATCTAGTCACTGCAACAGTTTCAGTATGTTTACATCTCTGCAAATATTGGGAGGTGTTTAGGATGTATGGGAAGATATTTGTGCCAGGTTTTGAATTTGCATTTGTATTCAAGGAACTGAGCTCATCTGCTGTGTTCGAGGTCAAGAAGAAAACTGTCTCAACTTCTAAACTGACATGGATGAGATGTGCTCACAATCATTGAAGGTTTAAACTTCACTGTATCCAAAATCAGTTCATTTCCTACAACCCTACAAATCAGACACATAATATTTGACTCTATAGTAATCAATAGATTGAGGTGCGAAAATATTTGAATCATCATCATCATCATCATTAGAAACCTTGCCTAGGACATCAACTATGCTTGGTCTAGCACTGGTATTTTGGGATTATTACGTGAGTGTTCAGATGCCTCTTTTTTACTTGGTCTAATAAAAATTTTGTGCAACAGAAAATGAGTTTGGACAGCCTATTTGATAAAGACCGGGTAAAAGCAAGTACGTTGACCTTAAGTTCACAGTTTTGACAATTTAATAAAGCCTGATCACATGACTTCTCAACTACTGTTTCCGAGACCAAGTCATGAACGCATTTTTCGGTGTATTTTTAAACTTTGGAAACAGGGGGATACAGACAGCTTAGCTCACTCCAGTCTTTATGCTGAGCTAAGCTAGGCTAGGCTAATTGGCTCCTGGCTCTAAACAATACAACCCGTTTTTATTTCCAGGTCATCCAATACCAACACTTTGTCGCGTTCCTTTGTGTCTCATAGCAATGCACATGGCGTCCTTTGGCATCCCTATGAGAAGCAAAGCTAAACCACATTTTAACACATGTGGTTAATGTCGTGTAATGCTCCTGATTAGGTTACGTAACAATAACATAGCGTGAATATGTCAAGTAAGTGACGTCAGTGAGTGGCGATTATACCTAAATTACATAATGTTACCTTCAAACAACTTTGACTTTTGGTTTTATGGGTCTCCTGGGTAAAAGTCCTGATATGTTTGACCCCTACACCTATGCAGACGTACTTGCTCTTTATACCACATCAGTTGCTCTCAGCATCAATTATTGCCGCAGATGAGTTAACATTGGAGTTAGCTAAAATTCTTGTGCATCTCGTTAAGACGCTAAAGGCTGCCTTTGGCATAAATATCACACACTGAGGGGTGTGACAAAGCATCAGTATATAACAACCTGGGGATGAGAACGGACAGGCCGATATGGATTTGAGAAGTCCTACTGCTGCTCTTAATCACGTGAAGTTTGAACCTCTCAAGTTCTATCTGCTGATGAAGATCATGTGATACAGCTGAAAGCTATAGAACAAACAAGGAAGTGGACCTTGAGACTGTTTTGTCAAATGCTGTATACAAGGTTGACAAAGACCTGTCAAACCTGATACCAAGTTCAAACTGGGCTAGAAGAAATTCAAATTCAATACAATTTAAAAAAAATTCAGATTTTCTAAAATTCAATTTCAAATGCAAAAGCGCATATCCTATCCCTCTCATGTCATTTCATACAGTCAGTTCAATCCACTGGGGTAGATCTAAGCTTGTTTGCACTGTAGCATCGAAATGTAAACTTGGATCTAATTCAGTTTGGTTTCATACCTGTATAAACAAAGTCAATGCAAATTCAATGAAGACTTGATATATACAGCTTGAAAAGACAAAACACAAATTCAGATGAACCAAATTCAATACCTACTGGCACAAATATCTGCTTATAAACTTTCACTAGTGTTAAAAACTTGCTTATTTTCCATGATTCAGACATCTGTAGTGCTCCAGACCTCTAGTACTTCCTGAATCATTTGCGATATAAATAAAACCATCTTTTTCTGTAAGCAGTGTAGAAGCATTTCCAAAACTGTTTAAGTATTAATATTCTCTGTGACAGATACATTTTGTGCTTAATTTCTCTAAAGCTGAACTTTGGCCTCCCCCTTTGGTTGCGGAGGTTCTGCTGTCAGCCTTCATACTGTTCAGTTTCAGTACTGCATCTATGTTTAAAAGGTTCAACATATTTAAGTGCTACAGTTTGTCCTCTGTGCTGTAAGTGAACAACCGCTCGCTATCGGAGTGAATGGAGCCATTGTTCAGCCAGCAGGGACAGCAGGGTAGTGAGGGATCTGGGTCCTGTAAGAGGATATAATGAAGTTTATTTCTTATTGTTTAGTATCATGTGTGACCTCAGCTGTGCAGAAAAGCAGCTTTCTGGGATCATCTTCTAATTTCAGCGGGAACACCTCATCTGATGCAAGACACACCGCCTACTTCCCCGCCAATGAGATTAAGAGCTCAGTTGGATCTACTGTCCAAAGAGAAGCTTTACTCGACTGCACTTCTCAGGGGGTTAAGAGGTCATCAAGAATCTCCTTTTGCATCATTAAATGTAGCTTACACTGTCAAGTCTGAAGAGGAAGGCGAACGTTTGGAGAGGGCTTGTGGATCCCACCCCACCGTGTGCTTTCTACATTAGTGTACAATCGTCCCGACCCACATGGTCCGGTCATCAGTGTGTTTTAAGGATTGAATTGCCCCCGTGTTTCACCGGTTCTAACAAGACACTTCTGTAAAGGGAGAGAAAAGCGGGTTGAGGAGCTCTGCTCATAAGGCCATAACAGAGCCCATGTGCGTTTGTAGAGCCCAGTTGGTAGTAGATGCTGTTAGCGGTAGTTACACACTCATTAGGTTGACGTCCAGGCGATTTTTCAAAAAGCTGCCACAGGCTGTGATCAGACTCAAAGCTCAAACACAAAACACAGAAGTACTAGTTAACACAAGGGCACAAGGACATTTATATGTGACCTAAAGCAACACAAAGGCTACAGAAAAACTACAGTTTACTACTGTGTCCTTTTTTTGTAGTTTCAGCCATGATTCCCATTGGTATTGGTAACACTGTACTCACAAAAGTAATGGACTGAATAGCTCTGCATCATGTACACAAAATGACACGGCAGAGAGCAACTGCTACCTCAACTGGTTAGTTTTAAGCCACCTAAAAAAAATCACTATCAGTTTAAGATGCTATATTTGGAATATTTCCACCGCTCTACCTTGGCGTCAGACAGCCCAAAGAGTAATTTTACCTTGCAGACCATGGGAGTTGTTGGCCTACATCTGCCTCGATTGGTAGTGTGTAAAGAAAAGTGGAGAAAATATTCTAAACATGGCGTACACTTAAGCTGATATTGATTTTTAAGGTGGCTTAAATATGTTTTACTGCCACCCAGCCAACAGAAGTACATTGCTTAGCTTCTGTGCTGGTGGATTTGGTTTATAAAAGATGCTAGCAAAGTAACACACGGGACATAAAATAAGCACAGCAGAAACATCAGATGGGTCCGACCACCGTGTTTAACTATATATCTTTAAATGTTACAGTTAAGGCTGAAAATCACAACAGAAATGAAAAAGTTTGGTTGTTCATTTAAAGGTTTTAGACATATCTCCGCAACTGAAATTAATTGCCAGTCGCCTACATCGACTCGGTTTATTTCGGAGAGTTCGGAATCTCAGCATTTACTTTGATGAGTACAATGTTATAATAACATAGAGCTGATAGACTGAGGGAGCGATCACACCGAGATGAAACGCCAGAAACGCAACGCCAGTAAAACCATTGTTTTCCTATGATACGGCGCGTCTGATCGGTGTTCAAGCGTCTTTTTAGACAGGCGTTTTTCTGGGGTCTTTTTAGACGCGCGTTTTTGTAGACTCTTCTTTTTAGACGCGCATTTTTAGATGCGCGTAGACGCTGAGAAGTTAAAATATTTTCAACTTTTATGAGCGTCAGACGCCAGTAGCTAGCGTGCATTGAATAAGCACTTCCAGCGTTTCAAGCGTCTTTGAAGCGTCCACGTCTCTAGCATCTCATTTCTGTGTGATCACCCCCTAAGTTAGGGAAACACAAAACTACAAAAAAAAAAAATAAAAAGAAGTTGTAATAAAACTGGATTATAAATCTGAGTGAGGCTGAACTCATCAGCTTATGGTGGTTTATGCTAACTGTTGTGAGATTACTGAGTGACTCTACTATGCTTCTGCACTGCCTGGGCTGCTCTTCAGCAAAAGTTACAGAGACTCATTTAATACCAGGTACAGTAAGAGGAGATGAATGTTGGCTCTGTTTGCTAACAGGAGGGCAACATGCCAGTCTGCAAAGAGAGAATGGGGACGGACGTTTTAAGGATTTATTTTCATCTCAGTTTAATTGTTGTTAGTCACCAGAAGAAGATGTTGGCTTTGTGTGTTTCTGCAAACTCATTTACGTTTCATATGTATCATATCAACATTTCTAAAGTGACGTAGTATATGAGCTGACTTTGTCATCAGGAGGTGGAGGGGATGGTGGATGGTGTGACACCGAGGCTAAACGCCTGCTGACCTGCAGACCACTGTTCAAGACCAACACACATCAAAGCGACTTTTCGTGAGTTGTTGTGTTTCCAGCAGCTTTGTAGCCACCACACAGTGGTCTGTCTCTGTGTTTCACCATGCCATGAAAAGTGATTGTTTTTCCTGAGACACTGCTGCCTTTCCTGCCAGGATTGTGCAACGTGGATGTTTTTTGGCGACCTGTCACTGTTTTTCCAGTGGGATAGCGCCATGAAAAACAGTTGTTTCCTTGTTTCCAGGCTACTTTCTACTCCCCAAACCAGGTATTTTAAGCCAAAACATGATCTTTTCCTAACAATAACCAAGTTGTTTTTGTACCTTAAACTTACCACGTTAACCACAGCGTTGTTGGGACGTCAAGTTTTAACATATCCGCTGCAAAATAATGGTTAACGTAACGTATTCCTGGTTTGCAGAAATGTATAATGCCAACATTTTTCTCTGGCTGTTGGGTGTATTCTAGGTATTTTCTTATAAATTAGTTTCCCTGACGATGAGACTTTACCCCCCACTGAACAACAAAATCATGTTGGTGGAAATTAGAGCAACACATAGCAAGTAATGTGAAGACAGACATCTTCCAGTGAAAATAAGCATGATACCATAGGAAAACTGTTTATTTAGGGGAAACAAATTGTTGTTAAACCTCTTAACTGACCAGATGATGATAATAAAGTGCAGCAGTTTAAGCTGAATCACGGTCCAGCTGATGTATAGGGTTACAGGGAAATGGAAACAAAAGGCGTCCTATGCAATCACAGCCTGTTGCAGAAAAATCTCTGGCATCTATCAGCAACCTAATTTTCCCAATTTGTTTTGACAGTGAGGTAAACTGATTTACTGAGGAGATACAGCCAGCAGATGAGTTGATTTCATAGACTGGCCTATTCAGAATCTAATCTCGTTTGTCGGGTCTCGGTGATTCATGTCGAGACGGAGACTTCAACAGACGTGGCCAACCTGATGAGTGTGTACCAAAGACTTCTGCTGTTGTGCTTCTCTCCTTTGAGAAACAGTTGAACAGACTCGGCTGTCGATATGGAGAGATTTGCATTCTGGCGGTGTGGATGCACACTCATTCATGTAGAGACATGAACCAATAAGTGTTATAAAAGACAAAAACCGTTTTAAATATAGGAACAAATATAAAATATTAGACTTCCATAATGTCTATATGCAATAACATTCTAGATAACTTTTTGAAGGACTTACAATTAGTCCCGCTTTACACCTTGATGTATCGCCTCAAAGATAATATTTAAGACAATGAAAAAGCACCACAAAATTCATCATAGAAACAGAGATCTAACCATACAATGGTATGTACAATGTACGTATGCCAACAATACGAGAGATGAGAAGAGATGAGGACAGAGAAAAAGAGAGAGAGGAGGAGTAAAACCACTTATCAAACTCCCGTCATGCAGATAAGAATTTACACAGGAGACCTGAGGAGTATCATCTCTGGCGGCTTGCGAGGGCCACGCCCTTCCTGTCGCAGTCCCTGTCCCAGAGACACCACGGCAAACAAGAGCTCAATTCAGAATTATACACAAAGCACTGATCCTTTGAGGCCTCCGTGTTGACGTTTTCTTTTTAAGGAGAGAATTTCAGGGGAACAGGGGAGAAAAATAGGACGAGGATATAAAGATAACGTAATACCAAGCAAAGGAGTTGGGGTAGAGGGGTTATAGGGGGGCGGCGCCTTGCCTGGCTGTTCCTTTTTTGTGCAAAGGAATGTCAGAGACAGCCTCCTAGGGCTCGTCGCTGGGAGGTGTGGCCGTTGCCCCTTCGGTGTCCACTGACTCCGGCGACTCAGCGGCGGCGGCGTCCTCGTTGGGGCTGCCCTTACTGCTGGGGCTGGCCCCCACCTCGGCTGAAGTGCTGCTGCTGCTGCTGCTGCTGCTGCTGTTACTGCTGCTGCTACTGCTGCTGCTACTGCTACTGCTGCTCTGGCCATCTTGGCCCTCTGAGTTCTCCAGCATCTCCTGGATGAGCGGCGGCATGGAACCCGGGATCTCCATCTTCAGAGAGATGACCCGCTCTGCTCCTGCAAGACCATGATGAGGGCATGATACATGGGTTAAAATTGGAGAGTGAACATTTATTCTTGATGCTGGAATTGGAAATAGTTAAAAAAAAGTGGGGTTCTGCCTGCAACACTAATAAAGCAGCAAACCTCTATTTGCTACGTAAAGATAAAGTGGGGTAATGGCGTCCTGAGCAGAGACTGAAGTCACACTGCCTCTGTGCGTGTTGCAATCCGAGCTTCTCTGCGTTTTTTGTGGTAAGCCGGTCCGACTGCACGTGCATACCACTGGCTAGCTCATCGCCGACCTTTTGCACTGCGCTCATATGGTGGTTACTGCTGATATCTGGACAGCAGCGTCACAGAAGCGCAGCACCCGCCTTCAGGGTTCCCCTTAATTAACACTGTAAGCTCTGTCACCACTGTTGCCATTGTTAGCACTGTTTATGGAGTTAGCATCATTAGTTGCCACCTCTATGTTGAGAATATCGCACAGTGCTCTTTTGACCCAAGATCCACTTTCCTATTTTTTTTTCTTGGCTTTCAACCACATCTCATGGTCCTTATCATGTTGTATGACGTAAACTTTACATGTGACAATACACCACGATCTCCTCTGATCCAAAGTGCTGTATTTATTTCATGTGGTGATAACTGAGTGATCTTCGTCACAGATAAAAAGCAACCTGGTTGTACAGAGATAAGAAAAATGAGCACGACCTCTTAACCAGCATTACGTGACCGTGGCACAGAAACACTGCCAATGGAAGGTCAATAACGATCTTTTGTCATTGTGGACACACAAAGTCCCTGGTTTAATGAAGTCCTGCTATGGAAGGTGGTTTATGTTACAACCTCATAGGTACTATTAACAGTGAAAAAGTCAGCATAGGCAGGAGGTCGGGGCGGTGAATTGGTGACGCAAACACTGGACTTTCACCCAGGACACTGCTGTTCATGTCCTGTGAGAAACTTCTTTTAACTTAACATACTTATGTTACGTTAAGTTACGTGACATTCTTAAATCCCTTAGTGCTCACGTCCCAATCATAAGAAACATGATTCCTCCAGTCAGACATCATGTATAAAAATATCAAAAAACACTTTCAACTGCCTCTATTGAACCTCTGCATCAACTTTGCGTCAGTAAGTCAGTTATGTAGTGCACTTTAAAAGCAATGTTAAGCTGCTTTAGAAGACACCCCATAAAACAAAAGAGTAAAACCCAGAATAAGCGATACTTCAAAAAGAAAAACTCAAAGGATAAGGAGACAAATAAAACCAGTACAAACAGTTAAAGCATCAGTAAGAACATAAGCTCGTAATGCGACCACATAAACCTTTGCAACATTACAAAAAGGCAAGTTGAAAAGATGGGAACGAAAGACGGATACAAAGGGGATAAAGTATAGGGACACCTACAATAACTTCTTCAGGCACGTCATCCCAAAGTCAAGGGGCTGAGGTCTGCTGAGGGGCAGGAGGGCCTTTGAGGATCTCAGAGTATACTCAGGCTCATACGGGGTTAAAAGCTCAGCGCTATAAACTGGTCCAGAATGTGCATTAAAAGTTAGCGACGGAAAGTTCAAATCAATAGGGTTTCACATGAGCCAGTTTAGAGAAGTTAAAGGGACAGTTCACCTGAAAATAAAAATATGTTTGTTTCTCCTCTTACCTGCAGCGCAAGTTATCAGTCTACATTGTTCTGATGTGGAGATATCAGCAGTAGAGATGTCTCAAATATGATGGAACTAGATGGCTCTTGACTTATGGTGCTCAAAGCGCCGAAAAAATATATACAAAAAAAACCTCAACAGCAATGTCTCTTTCCAGAAATCATGTCCCGGCTACTCAAGATAATCCACAGACCTTGTTGTGAGCAGTTTCATGTAGGAATTATTTTCTCTTGAAGGAGGAGTGCATCTACTCATGGTCAAGAGACTCGTACTTGTGACAGTGCGAGAAGTAAACATTTGTGGCGTCCTCCTCAGCTAAACTGAAATGTTAGCAGCAGCTTGCAGTCTCTGCTTTTACAGACTTTTCGTGATGACAGTGAACATGTCACACGTCCAAGGGGTGGACATTTGGAGTCTTAAATTCACAACTGCAACAGTGAACATTTTGAATTCTCCACTGCTCTGACTGGCGCCTCTGACTGGCTGCTTCTCCATAGCAACAGTGGCTGAGGCTTATGGGTACTGTAGTACCAAGAGCCAAAATGCCCACAGCAGACCCAGACTGCTCCTGCACTATTGTAATCTTCTGACACCCAACATCACTGTAAGTTCATGTTCTTCCTACCTTTAGCGCTGATGCTGCGCAGGTCTGTGATCTTCATCAGGGTTTTGGGGAACATGTGCGGCTTGCTGGGCCGACGCTTCCTCACGTAGATCTTCAGAGCCTCCAGGAGTGGCTCCTGGAGCTGGTCCACCTTAGAGGGCTCCTCCAGGTCCTGACGGTCTACAACAAGAACACACACACACGCAGACACAAATCAAGTCAGACTTGAGGCTCAACTATGACAAATCCATGTCTTGGCTTTATCTGATGTAGACAAGCTAGAGGCTAATGCATGTATCACAGCATGAAGCCTGCTTTGATTAAATAGGAAGAGTTTATCTCATTATGTCAACTCATTTGCTGCAGAGGAGAGATTGCAGAGATGGTTACAATGAGATAACTTAAGCAGAAAACTAATTTGAATCCTTTCTTTTGAGTTGTAGTGTTAAGCTCTGATAACTGGGGTTTAGAGTCTCAAACAGCAGGGAAGCATCAACCGAAGCCATCAAAACTAATCAGCAGACGGGGTATTCAAAGCTATGCGTCTATTCACAGACCACTTTTCTGCACACAGTGATTATTAGGATGACTCAGTGGTCAAATGCATCGGCGCCTCTGCTCTGTGAATAGAGACGCTGGCTCAAAATCCTTCATCAGAAAATGTTTTGGACCTTTTAGTTGGCAGCTTCCTTTGACTCCAGATTTCTGCTTGTACATTCATCATGTTTACAGCTTTTATTTGACTTTATTATACGTCATATTCAGCCATCGGCAATGTGGAGAAGACCAGCTGTAATTTTACTTTCATCACAATATAATTTGCAGGTTCCAGCAGATTACACAACCCTGGCTAACTGTTGCAGGTATTACGTGTCAACCCAAACACCAGAATAAATGCTGGCATGGTACATTTCTGCAAACCACATTTGCACGTTATCATGTAGCACATATATATTGAAACTTACATTTCAACAATACTGTGGTTAAAAAGTGGTTATGTTAAGGCACAAAACCACTCAGTTATGGTCAGGAAAAGATGTTTTGACTGAAAATACGCACTTTTGGTGGGACAAATCTTGCAGAAAACTCAAGCCAAACCGCTTTTCATGGCTGTATACCAGCAGGAAACACTGCCATGTCTTTGTAAAACACAATAGCTTTTTGTGGCATTACACCGGCAAAAAACACTGCAATGTCTCATTAAAAAACAACCACTTTTTGTAACAGTATTCCAGCAGGAAACATTTATGTCTCAGTAAATTACAACCACTTTTGGCGGCACTATTCCGGCAGGAAATACAGCAATGTCTTGGTAGAAAAAAAAAAACTGTTTTTCATAGCATTATCCCAGCAACATTTGGTGGCTCAAAAGCTGCTGAAAGATGCAGCAATGACTTGCTAACAAATGGTTTTGTTGGTCTTGAATGCTTGGATATCATGCCATCCACTATCCCCTCCACCTTTAGAAACACTGATATAATACATATGAATTCTACAAACGTAAGGTGTCCGGTTTGCAGGAACGTACAATGCCAGCGTTTTCCTCTGGTAACTGGGCTGTAGGCGTAGCACTTCAATTTTTTGTTTAGGGTTAGGGTTAGCCCTTGAGGCATTATTACATGTACAAATAGCCTTTTCAAGCCATCCTCACAACAGTAAGTGCCACTTCTACAATATTGTGTTGTAGTACAGTCCTTGGTTGAATCATTGCTGAGATCTGAGACCTAAAGCACAAAATAAGAATTATAAGCAAGAATTATAAGCAGTCAGTCAATCAGACTTCAGGCTTGTGTGCACTAGGGCCGTAACGGTACATGTATTTGTGTCGAACCGTTCGGTACGCGACTTTCGGTTCGGCACGACCCTGTACCAAATTATTGGGTGCAGGATATTATTTTATTTTATTTTGTTTTATTTTAATTCTGTTTTTGCGAGCCGAACCATTTAAAATATCTAGTTCCCCGACGGACATAATTGCGTGACGGACCGAGTCTAACTGTAAATCTCCACCTTCACTTTGTGCAGCGCATTCTCGCATTTTGACAACATGGCAAGTGAGCCTGACGAACCTGAAGACCCACCCGCAAACCTTAAGTCCTCCGTTTGGGAACACTTTGGTTTCAGGGTAAAATACGAAGATGGAAATAAACAAGTAGACAAGACAAAAGCAGTGTGCCGACACTGCAGAACAGCGGTCGGGTATGTACCTGGAAACACGTCTAACATGCTAACACATCTAAAGCGACACCACCTGAGTTTGAACGTTAACCGGCACGACTAGAAAAAGCAATCTGGTGCAAACTACAATATCGACATCATTTAAAAAGGAAGAGCGTTTCCTTGACCATCGCGCTAAAGAAATAATCAACGCCATTGGAGTTGAATAAAATTGTTTAAGCTGCACTTTAGATATAAGCATGTTTTGTTTACTGCACTTTAACAAAGTGGGAAAGCTAAGTAAGTTCCTAGTAAAACTGAATCTGAGCAGGCTTTAAAGCTGACCAGCTGCACTATACTTTTTATTTTAATTGAGTAAAACTGTTAAAGAAGAAATGTATATTTATATTTTTCATTCAAAAAAAGTGTTAAAAAAACAGCAGGATTTTATTTTTCACTTTTATATTTCTATTTTCATTCAAACAATGTGAAAAAGCAGGATTTTATATGTATTTGTTTCATTCAAAAATTGTGTAAAAAGAGTTAACTGCTGTGGTGGTATGTTTTAATAAGGTTAACAATAAGTAAAAGATATTTAATAGTTGTCTATTTTTTTCATTACTGTACCGAAAAAAACAAACAAACCGTGACTTGTGTACCGAGGTACGTACCGAACCGAGATTTTTGTGTACCGTTACACCCCTAGTGTGCAAGATTTTTACTGTGCATGAAGGATTATTAGCAACATAACAGGTGTGCCAACTTTTGGTTTTAGCTCCAGACACAGCAGCAGCTAATCTGAAAATCCTGTCAGCCAGCTGATGATGATACCAAGTCGCATTAAACTGCAAGTAGTTTCCCTTTAATCATGTTTTTCCACGGCGTCATTCTCAACACTGAGAGAAATACTGAAACCCAAGACTTCATGTTTTCATGGCCGCACTATTCCATAGGAGTGAATGTTCAAGGTGTCTCATCCAACACTTGATACATATTTCCCCAAAGTTAAGCTTGACCTGTTAGCTATCTTTGGAAACTTGGGAACTCCACTGGAATTTAAAGGAGAGCTTCATGTTGTTTCCAATCTTAGCACATTATTCACATGCCCATATGTACATTAGGAGAGTTTTGGTTCTCCTGTTAATACTGGGTGTAAATAAATCCCTTCATAAAGCAATTACAATACAAGAAATGTACAATACGTTCTGTGTAAAAATGTATTCTGATGTTCTCATGAGTGAAACTACCTTTTTCTTATTGCACCCCCACCACCACGCTAATTTGGAACGACTGACCTGGTACATGTATAATAACACACACACTACACCATCAGACCAGAAGGTGGCAGTGTGTGCACAGAGATCAGCTGCTGCAGGAGCTGCAGTCAAGGTGTGTGATTATTACAGATGCAATCAGAGGCGTCTCACACTGTCCACGGATTATGCAAGAGTCTGTAACATTTGCAGAGTCTCTGGGGATTGAGTATATAAATATATATTGTTAAATGAAACCCCGGCAGTGATGGAGCCGGAGCAGTGGTGAAAATGAAAGGTAGAGAGGAGGGAGGAGCGCGATGGTGACAACTGTGTAACTTTAGTGGACATACAGTAAAACTTTGTGTGTGTGTGAGAGTGAGGGGGAGAGGACAGAGACTTGTGTGTTAATGTGTGTGTAGCCTGGCATGAGGGAGTTAGTCATGCCTCGGGTATCTCAGTGGAAAACAACCAGAGAAGGCTTATTTCCTCTGGGAGGGCAGTTCAAACATTCTGCTCAGCTAACAGACGCTCCTGTGACATACCTGTACGTCAGCCCTCCTTCCCCTTCACTCCCCCCCGACATGTTTGGCTGTCAGGATTGTGCTGCCTCACTGATAGCAACCTGTGGTTGACCTGGTTTCAGACTCCTGTGGATTCTGGCTTACTTTCATCCCAAACTGGGCTGCAGCTCCACTCAATATTTATCCGCAGGAATCAATACGGGCTGACTATGTTGAATGGAGAGCAGTCAGGCATGGTTTTAATGTGGAGTGGATCAGTTTGTTCATTCCACTTGATGCACCTCAAGACTACAATATCAACTCTGTTTATGTCTTTAAATCAGAGTTAATGCTAAATATATATAATGTAATCAGGCTGCAAAAAGCCTTTAATTTGACATATCCGTCGGATAGAATGAAAGAGTGTGATGGGGTTTTGCAGACAGACACTGATATGTTTTTTGGCTGAAGCTGCAAAAGTGTTTCCTAACCCGGGGGTCATGAGATAACTCTGAGGGGTCACAAGGTGATTAACAAAATGCTGAAGATGACAAATCAAATCTTCTGTTAAAGTTCAACTGAAATGAAACTGCAGCAAACAATTTAGATTTGTAATGTGTACTTCTTATTTTTTTGTTTTCATAAATGCACCCTGTGTCTGTGCCCACACCAGATTCTATGGATAAACTTGATCACGTGTAATTTTAAAGCTGTCGTCAGTATCTTTTATGAAAATTACTTTGTGTTATATTTGCTACAACTGCCACTTTATCCACACAGTCGTACACAAGACAGATGATCTGTGAAAAATAATCATGTCCGTCCTCCTCTTCCTCCTGCTTCTGATGGCATTTGCTGGAATTTATCGCAGCGCATCGGAGACAACCAATCAGGGTTTAGGAGTCTCTAATGCAGCTGTCAATCATGTCAATCATGGCTTGTGAACTGCTGGTCGCAAATGTTCTCGTTTTACAGCTAAACAGTACACTAAATTATGTTTTTAAAACATTTCAGGAGAGAAATTGGCAATATAGTAACAAAATCTTGAGTCATATCGTCGCATTTAGTGCCGTGTGAATATAGTGACAGTTTTTAGCAGTTACCCAGTGTATGTAGCTTTAAAGCAAGTCTGTGTAACGTTTGCTGAGCAGCTGCCACAGTGGCCACAAGTGGTAACAAATCCAGAATATCTCTTAATTTCTAAAGATGGTCTTGAATCAGTTGCTTTAAAGACGTCATTATTAAGGTGAGCTGACAGAGCAAGCAAACAGTGCAAAGTAAATCTACTTTCAAGATGCATGGAGATGTGAAATAAGTATTAAGAAATTAAAATGGTAACAGACCCTCAAAGTTATTGCCTTTAAAGACAGTTTCTAGATCATTTGTAACCAAATTTAAGACTGATTTTTGTATAAATCTTCATATATCTTTTCTTTAAGATTATTTTTTGGGCTTTTGTCTTTAATGGATAGGTCAGTATATCAAGTGTGGAGGGGGAGTGAGAGGGGATGGCATGCAGCAAGGGGCCACAGGCACAGCCTTTGTACATGGTGCGCCTGCTCTATCCACTGAGCCACCAACGCCCCACATCTTGTTATTTTTATTCAAGCATTGCAGGTAAGGATAAATGTAAGGAGTATGTATGTGGTCACATGCAGAGGAATGTTTCATGTTGGCGTATGGTTTTTAGAGTGAGTTAGCTTTATCTACATTTTGCCAACAGTTAAGTGCAAGTATTAAATAAAAGACAGTTTTAGGTTCAGTGGTAGGTTTACAGATTTATAACATCAGAAATCTGGACTTTAACTCAGAAAAGCTTGACTCATTTTGACAAAAAGAAATGAAAAGATGGACACATAAAATTAGATAAAATGTTTGTGGCACTTAAGACTTCACAAATTCAAATTTCAGACTATTTAATGACTTTAAAGGCCTAATATTTATAAAGATTTTGACATTTTAAGGACAACCTGTTGTGGTCACAAGCCCAAATGAGTTGGTCTTAAAATATGGTTGTTGTGTGTACAACTGTTGCTGGAGTTTAGACCTGAGTAGAGCAAGCAAACAGGAAACTAGTATTATTCTACTTCCTGCTTTACTTTGTGTGATTGAAAAAAATTAAATATTTATCTGAATTGTAGTATAATAGAATACCTATCTAAAGTTTGTTAGTTAAAGTAAGACTGCAGCAGCAAAAATGGTTGGGAAATGAGCAAAGGTACATTTGATTACTTATGAATTCATCTTTTCATTTATGGGAGAAAACCTAGTTAAGTCTAGTTCAAGTTACAAAGTCTTGCATTTTCAGCTGTCATTGTTCTGTCTTTACTGACCGAGTCAAAAACAGCCTCAGCCTATATTAGCTTTCGAGCTAATGCCCCCATCTTGACCTCATTGACACAACACCGCAGCTTGTTGAACAAGACTCATCAGCAAAGGTCAACACGTGTCATCTCAGATGCTAAATGATGTGCTCCCTATTCTTCAACTGCTACAACAAGTTTGTTTACTTTGTCTCTGCCTGCCCCTCCTCACTCTGCTGTCAAACAAACATGTAGCCTGCACACCCACTCAGAAGCTTGGAGGCATTTCTGCTGTACCCTCCCTTTCAAATTAGACTTTAAAATGTAACAATAAGACAGGAAGATCATTCTGTGGTTGAACTGCTACATATGCAACATGTGACGACAGGTCCTGAATTTCCAAGCAGTGCTTCACACTAATATTTGTGTCCTTCCTTTCTCTCTGAGTTACATTCTTATCCTGTCCTTCTTTCCTGTTGTCCCCTCCCCTCACTGAGCGCCCAGCACTCTGCCCTGGCTCACCCACCTCCGGAGATGAGACAGATGGCACTGAGGAGACCTGTCTCCGTGTCGTCCATCTCGATGGGCAGCAGCTGGTTGGCAAAAGTGAACACCAAGTCGGTGAGCGGGCCGAAGCCAGCGTTGTGCATCTGCGTCCGGTTGAGGGTGAGCCCATCCGAAAAGGTCATGGTGTCCTGGTCGGGCGTGTACCTCGTACAGATGCGCAGGATCTGACAGGGAGGGACGGAAAGCAGGGAGAGGACAAGTCAGCAGGGATTTAGTGGACAGGAAACTTTAAGTGATATAACATTGGGGGTTGATTTATAGAGTTTGGCTGGCAACATCTTTAAGTTGAGGAGTTTTTATTGCAAAAACTGACAGATTGAGTGTTTACCTCAGGCTATTGTCAGTGTGGAGAATGTTCCAGGAAAGTTTTAAATCATCAGTTGCCAGGTTGTGAAAAAATCATGGTGACAGATTAAACCATATGACCACGCACTTCTGGGAAAAGGCTGCAGAGGATCTGCACCAACATCCATTTATTAATAACTTTCTTAATGGATTATCAGCATTTATAACTGTATTATTATCAAATAAACAATGAACACAGAATAAAGGTGTTTTTGCGCAGCAAGACCGGATACTAATAAAACCAGAGGGCCTACTTAACTTCTCCAAAACCTAATATCTGAAAGGTTGTAAATTATACAATAGGTTTATGTTTTTAAATGAAGGCTATTTACAAAAAATGCTGAAGGGTTGATCCACCAAAAGTACAAAAGGTGAATTATCTCACTTTTTTCACTTTTTTTGTGTGTGTCTAAAACAGACTGCAATGTGACAACTCGGGGCAAGTGTGCACCGTCAATTTAGGTCCACTAAACGAGCTTATGGAAAGGATCCTACTGAGATAGACCTTTTTGTTTAACCAAAAACAGCCCTGAAATCACCATTGCCAACCTGACCAGACTCCATTTAAACAAACAGTAATTTTAGCATTATAGAGCCAACATAATTTCACATCTAAGTGAGTGAACTAAGGTTTTTTTTTAAACCAAACCAGACTTGGTGAATGTTAGAACAGTGTAAAAACAAACCCAAAAGGCTTTTGGGAGTTGAATTTTATTTCTGTCGATTTTGAATTAAGTGTTTGTTACGATTATAAAATTAGTGTGTATTTAAATGAAGTCTGGTGGGTTTGGTGATGGCGATTGTGGGGCTTTAAAAAAAAAAGGGATCTTAGTCTTTAACAAAAAGGTCTTTCTCTATATGATCCATAATGTTGTCAGACTTATCCATAATAATAATCTGTGCCAGTCTGTGGCAAAACAAGCCCTTTTACCAGACGTAAATTAATTGACGGTGTGACCATGCGCCTGCTGGCTGCAGCGCTCTCTCAATCTCGCAATACTGAACCAATTTCAAAAACTGTTGCTCCCATTGGTCACTTAGATGCAAAAACATGGGAAAATATGGTCCAGGTTGAAGACACTTATTACAATTTAGCTATAATAGTAGCTAACTATTCTAATACATTTTGTTTTTTCTGCCTGTGATTAGCTTTCATCACTTGTTCATAGTGCTCAAAGCATTGCAATTTTTAATTTAAAGCCACACTAATCAATATTTTTATATCAACAAATGATAAAATAACTGTGTAATGTCAAAGTTTCAATCACAATTACAAACCCAAAGAGATTTATCACTCCTGTAGTTCCCATCAGCTCTCAGAAGCATTCAGCCTCTTCGCTCATTGTTTTGGTTTCCCAGCCTGCAAACCTTACTTTTATTTATCTTCTTTCCAACAGCAGGCTTGATAAACCCACTGTACATCACCTGCCCAGCACCACAAAGCGGACAGACACAGCTAGCAACAAGCTAGCAAACACAGTGGAGCATTTAGCAGCTAAAAAGTTGCAAATTTTACTCAAGAGTTGGTGGAGACCAAAACAGAGATAAAAGGAGAGTAAATATTGGAAATATTGTACTTGTGAATGTTGCTCTGTGTCTCCTTGGTGTTAAAATAGATAATTATTCGTTAACATGTTTCCATAATAACTTAATGTGGTGACAATATGTCAGGTGATGTGTTTTCAACTTGTTCTGCTGCCCCCAAGTGGCCAAAAAACAAACAAACAAGCAAACAAAAACAATTAAAGCAGCTTTAAAACTGAGAAAATATGTATTTGTGTTATTTGTGTGAACCAAACCTCTAATCAAAATCTAATAAAGGGGGGAAATGCACAAAATAAATCAATAAATAAAACTAACTGAACTGGCCGGCATGTTTAACCACCTGATACGCCAAAGTATGTGATAGTTTTCATTTTGATTTTCACACCATTATTCACCTGATATATCCCCAAGACTGATGATAACCTGCTAACCAGGGCAGGTGAACTCTACAACGAGACTCTAGGTCAGAAGTCTGAAAGAGGTCTAACAAGTTTCCCATAAAGAGCAACAGAGACAACAAGCACAACCAAAACAATGACCTTCCACACACTCAAAGAGAATAACCTTTGTGTCTCCTGCTGCACCACGTGTGTGTGTGTGTGTGTTTGTGTGTGTGTGTGTGTGTGTGTGCACGTAATGAAGCAACTGATGGTGGATGTGAAGCCTACAGTAGCCTTTGAAGCTATTTGAGTGGGCTGGCTCTGACAGTGAGTGGCAGGCGTGTCTGCAACATGAAACAGAATAAAACATGGCTACTGGCGGTGACTCGCACCGGCTGGCCAGGCCTGCGCTTAGACACACACACACACACACACACACACACACACAGATACACAGACGCACACACACAGATGCAAACACACACAAATATACACACATAGTGTTTGATCTTTCCTCTGACACTCCCTCACCCAGCCCTTGTGCACAATATCTACGCCCTTCACCACAGAAATGTGCTGGTGAGCGGATGCTGATGGCTGAGCGAGAGCCAGAAAGTCATCACAGCCGGCCTTCAACTTCTCACCCCTGTGTCCCTGGGAGTTCACTTCACTTTGTCACATCTGACAAGTATGACTTAGTCAATACAAAGTCCAAAATCCATCTATTAATGTCGCACCGCCACTGAAACCGAGCCGGTTAAAAAACACACTGAATAACAATCACTGTATGTGCAGCGAACTAATCCTCACTTTCATCAGCATTCATTTATCCAGGTTGTGTCCGGATGTGATTTAGCTACTTTGCATTTACACCTCACATAAATATGCATCTTCATGCATTAATCATTGTATTGCATTTCCTCACCAAAATGTAGATCGCTCCGTGTGTCACTTCCTCTCTCATTTTTCATGTCCCTTACGGGCACCAAGCTGCAGGGAGCATTTACTATTCTCTAAAACAGCACCCTTTATTAAAGATAAATCATTTACTAACACTTAGACTAAAATATAACCTACATATTTCAGTAATAAGTCAGCAAATATATTAACATTTGGGTTGCCGGATTATTGAAAAACACTGTGTTTAGCCTGTGGTTTTGTTACGACACAGTTACAAGTAATAAAGTTTCAAAAGTCTGCAGCTATTTGTTATCAAGATAAAAAAAAAAGCTTTTTAAAGCTAAAGAGGGGCTGGCAATGCAGTGGAAAGATGCAAATACTTTTGAAACTGGTGCTCCAATTGTAATGCATGCTTGTCGGTTTTGACAAAGAAAACAACATGGTAGCTGGCAGGTAACCAAAGATCTCATATTATATTTAAACAGTAAGCAAAATATGTTTCCAAAAACATTTGAGGTGAGAATAAGAAATGCAGGAACAATATTTTTGGTTTATATTTGATCTGCGCTGCCTAGTTTTACCGTTTGAGTCACCATTTTTCACAATACAAGAAACAGTACACGGCCCACTTCTCGCATTACAACCAAACAGTGCACTAAAACATGTTTCTGAAGACATTTGAGGTGAGAAATAGGTAATACAGTAACAGAATCTTGTTACCAGCACTGCCTAGTTTTACTGTTTGATAAAAATTTGTACGGATTTTGAAATAGAAATGAGAGAAAAAGATGAAGATAAAGGGGAAATTCAATTTTTTTTCACTCTGTTATCATATACACATCGAGCACACTGTGCGAGGACCCTATTGAAATGCAAGGAATTCTTCTTCTTCCCCCAAATGAATTGCATTTTTGGGAGGCTTAACAAACTTCATGAAACTCTGCACATATATCAGAACTGCTGAAAAATTCGATATTTTAAGGGTCTCATGCTTGGCACCCCAAAAATGGCGCCCCTTACAAAATTTCGACATAACAGCCCCTGAAACTGGTTTGACCTACATGTATGAAAATTGGTAGGCACATGTAACACAAGACCCATGCTCTAAACCCAGCAGGAAGTTGGCCATTTTGAATTTACTGTGCCATTTTTCTGCAGTTTTGGCCACTTCCAGGGGTCGTACTTTAACAAACTCCTCCTAGAGATTTCATCCGACTGACTTCAAAGTTTGCACAAACAGGACCTATATATGCATTAATGGAGAAAAATCAGAGTGAGGGGGCTGCCCATGGACAGGTGCCCTGAGCAGCTGGAGGTTCAATGCCTTTCAATGCCTCCTCGGCAGTGCCCAGGAGGTGAACTCGCACCTCTCCGTTTCCCAACCCAAGTCCCTATGGCCTGAGCTACTGACACCAAGAGGGAGGACTCTCCCTGTTGATTCGCCTCTTTACTCTTTATGTCCAAAGTAGCATGCAAAAATGTTAAAGTACAATCTGCAGTTCGAGCAACGACCCTAGAGTCAGCAAAAATCCGCCAGATGATGCGTTTTTAGCTGAGAGAGGGAGATCTGGGCACCGGCAAGATGGTGGGAAGCTTACAACACTTCATTTCCACTACCCACACTGTTATGATGGCTGAAAATCAGCAAAGCATCCCTTTAACTAAGTCAGTACGTCTAAATGTTAATAAAGCATTTTTATAACTCAAACATTTTTTTTTAATTGACAGTAAAGATACCGACAGGAAATGCAACAAGAGAGAGTTCATGGCTGAAACTGAAGCAGGGACGTGGTGGTTATACGAAGCGTCACAGCCACTCAGCTGGAGGGTTCCCTCATTAAGCCTCTCTAAAGGGTGCTTTATTAGAAAATGGCACAAAATCTAATTAAGCTGACTCACTTAACCAATAAAACACAAAACTGCAGTTAAAACAGCAGGTGTATTAGCATGGAGCTCATCGTCTACACAGCACACATAACCTTAACTAACACATT